CAAAATCAAGTGATGGTCAAGCTCTTCCCAGAGGCCTTCTAGTGTTGCAAAGTATGTTGCCACAAACATGTCTCCTTGCCTTAGGGCTGCAATGTCTTGGTTTAGCCTGTAGATTCTGGCATTGTTCTTCTTTTGGCCATATGTCTTAGATACTTTCTCCCAGATTTTTGCGGCTGTAGGGAAGTGATGAACAGTTCTGGCCACYCGAGGAGTCATGGAGGCCAGCAACCAAGACATGACTGTGGCATTTTCCTTGCGCCACACAGTGTATTCAAGGCTGCTGATTTTTGGTTCCTTTTTGTCTCCATCCAAATAGCCTGTGAGGTCACGAGAGGTAATGATCAGTCTTGCTGAGACTGACCACTCTCTAAAGTTATACTCATCCAATAGCACACTTGTAATCTGCAAGCTATGCAGATTAGGGTTCACAAGCCAATTCAGCATGACAGGATAAAACATATTGAAGTTGATCGACATTTTATAAAAGAAAGTGTAGCTTCTGAAGAAGTTTTCATTCCTTTTATTGGCTTAGAGCAACATTTAGTAGATGTTCTGACCAAGGGTGTCCCCAAGGCAAAGTTACAACATTGTGTAAGCAATCTGGGCATGATTGATATCTATGCTCAGTTTGAGGGGGAGTGTAGAGATAATGGGCTGAATGGGTCTTAGTTTCTTTATTTTTTTAAGTTATATTTATGACTTGTGTTAGTAGGTAGTGGGCCTTAGTAATGGGCCTGTTTTCTTGTTTTTTATTGTTGTTTTTAGTAATGGACACCCTTCTGAAGAGAGTTTTTCAACTACTCTTTCTTCTTCTTTCTTTTCTTGCATCTTCTTCCTCCATCACTTCTCTCTTAAATCTCCTTTTCTTGTTTCTTTTCTTTTAATTCAGATTATTGTGGATGTTATTTACAACTGTAGCAAACTGGGACTATATGACATATACTCACTAGCTTGAAGGGGAGTGTTAGAGTCGACTATAGAGTGGTAGTTTGGTCATTTTGCTTTATGTTAAGTGTGGTATAATATCTGTTATATCCTGGGGTTGAGTCCCACACTTAAGTAGGGGGCACAACTGTCTTTATGTTTTAAATTAGAAACCTATAAATAACAATCTGGACAACTAGAGAAATTTCTCTTCTCTTGTTCAAACCTGCCTTTCTTTTCTACTTCTTCTTCTCTTCTCTTCTCTTCCTTCTATTCTTTCTCTCCTCTCTTTTTCTCTGTTATTCTGGAACTAAAACCAGTACAGATCTGAATTTTCACTGTAGTTTTTATTTTTCTTAGTTCTAGGACTGGTGATTTTCTGCATATCATGTTTATGGTAAGTGATTCTAAGCACCACATTAGGTGATTTTGGGTTTTCTCTCTCTATTTTTCTTTGATCTTTCAAGAAGCCATTACAGCCATTAACAACAATAAGCGCTTCGTCAATAGATGTTCATTCAACTTCTTAAAGGACTGGAATTGATCTAGGTCAAATTTTCTTTAATTTTCACCAGAACACTAGAATTTTTCCATTTTGACTATTTTGTCTTTTTATGCCAAATCATTTCGAGTCCCTCTCATATTTGTAGACCTCCATATATCCCTACATCCTTTTACTCCAAATATTATCCAGAAATTCCACTTAGAACTCTAAATTCCTCAGTTTTTGACATTTCTTCTAATCATAGGGCTTTTGTCATTTTGTTCAAAATGTACTCCAAATAACCAAATTTAGTTGCCCTCTACAACTATCCATTCTAACCCTGCCTATGAAATATCATTTTCCTATTTTTAAGTTTTTCTATGTCCTATGATAAATATATAAACCTTACATATATGTCCCTAGGCCTTTTATAACCTAACCAATCTTTGTTTTTAGTCTTAAGTCATCCATGATACATCCTAACCTTCCTACGCTCATCCTTTGACCATTTAAGTAGGGGTATAACTTGGCCCGAGTTAGCATTTTACACTGCTTTGTGCTCGGGCCCATTCAAATTTTGACAAAATCCCAACCCAAGCATGCCCAAGTTACACCCCTATATTCAAGTACTACATTAATTAGTATCAGAGCAAGTAGTCCTACATCAATTAGTATTGGAGTTACCGAGTTACATATCCTACATCACTAGGACTTGGATTTTAAGTAAAGTAGTGAGGTTGGCCTACCCTTTCTCCTTGTTTTCCTACCCTAAAACCCACAGAGAAATACTAATAAGACTCTAACTAGGAATATGACAAACACTAGTTAAGTTTGGACTAGGACTTTGACTAAAGACTCAAATGTGACAATTTCTAGTTGACTTAGGACTTGGATTAGGACATCCTACTTGAGAATATGACTCTATCGTACTGATATAACTTTGAATTGCCAATATAACTCTTAATCCAATTAAGTAAACTATCTCTTATTATAAGGAATAATAATATGGTAACACCTAATGCGACTAACAAAACTGCAAATAATTCATAATCAGAAGTAACTACTGAAAACTGAAGACATTAATCCTACCATCAATAAATACATAGAAATTTAGAAAATCCCAGATTTGACATGTAGACTCTTGCATCAGATGGACACCCAAGCCAATGGAATGGCTGACTGATGCTTTAGAAAGGTAACCAGAAATGAGCTACTTTAGGGGACCTTCTCTATAGATGCATTTGTAGACCTTGATTATTTCTTTGAGTTAGTTCTTTATTTATGTCAACACTTGGCTGTATTGTACCTGTATCTTTCATACCATAACCATTGGGATGAGGGGTTTACTACCATTTTTAATAAAATCTCATGATTATTATTGCTGATAAAAAAAGATACTGGTAACAAAAACTAATTCTATTAGTGGAAAGAGTGAATAATTGCAAGCCCCTGTAAATAATGAAAAGGCAGAAAGCTCATAAAAATTATGTACCTTATACCAGATATAAAAACTTCAAAAGTACAAGCTATCTCAGCAATATGTGCCACAAAACAACTTGCACCTTGTTATACCCTCTCTAACAAGGCTGTCAATAGTCAAATTGGCGTGTCTCTAAACCATCTAAATGATAGGTTGAGAGTAGTAGCAAGGATGCCTCTTTAATGTGATAGTGGGTTTGCTAGTTGATTTGTTTAATAAGCTTTCCTCTACAACCAAAGCATCTTCAACGTGGCAAATTAGTTTGTAACTCATAAGGAGTCTCTAAGTTCCTCTCTTAATGTTATTCCTGGAAAAGATTTTGGCATGAACACTTTGTCATGTATCCAAATAAGTCCACTTTATAGGTAAGTTTGTGTTAAAAAATTTATAACTTTGAATGGTTCATTTTAGTTGTGAAAACCACCAATACTACAATCCCACGGGGGGGGGGGGGGGGGGGGTCAAGGCTCAAGATAACACCCAACCGTAGCCTTAACTTATATAACCAACACTACAGGAGACAAATTAAGAAACAAGGAACTGATCAAGTCAAGAAAATTCCAAAAGTTCTCTCCCAACTCTGCTCTGCTAGTCTGATGAAATTCTGGATGCACCAGAATCGAATTGGACAACGAATTTTCAACCATAGCTATCAGCCGTCCAATGTTCTTCAAAAATAAGTGAAAACCACCAATACATATGGATGATGTGGACTGTGGGATTGAATATGTAGGAAATATAGTAGGTCCCCTTTCTGCTTGACAATTTGGATCAGCCCTAAGATCCCATTCCTTCCATGTGGCAGAAATAGGTTGGTTTGTGTAGGGAAAGCTCCCTACCTGAGCCAACTAGGATTTTTTGTATATTTATATATATTCTAGTATTTCTTTTTCCTCTTTAGGAGGAACTTCAACTGTTCCTATCTGCAAGAGATTTTTTTTTTCCCTTTTGGTTTATATTCCTCTCTTTCTGGTGGTGTGAAGGCAAAGATATTTTGGAGTATGATTATGATATTGTTTGAACTTTTGGAGAGAAAGGAATGGAAGAATATTTGAAGACAGTCAGAAGTATTCTTTTCTCCTTAGGACCATGTGTAGACATTGGTTTCTTTATTCTTGAATAGATTTTGGTTTTTCCTAAACTTGAAGATCATCATCATCATTTAAACCTTTTCTGAACTATGGGGTTGTCTACATGAATCCTGCTCTGCCATTCCATTCTGTTAAATGCCATTTTCATTCTTTCAATCCATGCTCTTTTATCTGCCCCTAGTTCTTCTCACTGGTTCCATAGATGGTCATCTCTGCACATGTGACATGCCCACCATCTTAATCTACTTGAGGATGTAGACAGGAATTCTTTTGGCAGAGCTTTTAGGAGCATCCTGGTTCTCATTAAATATGATGTTGTATAAAATTTTATTATTATATTCTTGTCTAGGCATGTGGCCTTTGTCCTTGCTTTCTTTTAGTGTTGTTCTTTCAACATCACATCCTATTTCATATCTTCTTTACTCTAATAAAATCTTATGTTTAATGTATATTTTTATTTAATGAAATTTTTATATTTATTAAATCTGAAAATGCATGAGAGATTAGGCCTATTATGGTTAACTAAACCATCTAATAAGATAATGAAAACATAGGAAATGCTAGATGAATGAGAAATAGAGCACATGGTTCTTATATTTAAAAACAAAGGTGATCATGGGGCTAAACTCATGAACCATATGAAAAAAATTTAGAAGAGAGTCATTGATCAATAGTTATGGCTAGTATTGCATGGGCTCTCCCAAATGGATCAAATGTCCATGTTGTACATATGTTGGAATGCAACACTCCATGAATTCTTGAGGGACACTTCTATGTTACATTTTTCTTCCTCTCATTGCTTATTTGACATAAGTAACAGTTATTGTATACATTGAATGCCATCTTTCCTAAAAAATGTTATTTAGGCTGCTGCTTTAAACTACTTTTCATCTGAACTTTATTCTGATGAAAATGGCATACTACTTTATTTCTTTCAGTTTTTATTTATCTGTACTAGCTTACTTCTTTTTTTAACTATTTCCATTAATTGATTTCCTTATTTTATTTGCAAATTAAGCAGATCAGTTTGGGTGACCTTTGGCAGTCTGCTGCTTCAGGTGGTTGGAGACCATCATCTGCTCCACGATCTGATTGGCCTCGTATGTAATTTTCCTTAGTCGCAGCAAATCTGTTCCTTATGGATCTCATATAGTAGACACACCTTTTCTTTTCAAACATCAAGCATGTTTAACCTTTCCTTACATATTGGCATGTGCATTTGTTTCCTGTCAATTTTGAATTCTGTACATCATTCTTTTATGGCAGCTCCCCCAACTGAGACCAATGGTTATTTGCGGGTTCGTTGCAATGGTGGTCTAAATCAACAACGCAGTGCGGTTTGTGCTAACTTGTTACAAGCATTTTCACTTTTTTTCCTACTTATACATACATATGATTGTTTTCATACTAAAATGCTTTTTGTTTAAGCTGTTCAAATATCGTGGTTGAATGTTGAATGTGTATAACTTGATAATATCTTTATGATTATTGAGAACTGGATGAACTCATCTAAAGAGATAGGGGTGCAACTTGGGTGGGCCCAACTTGAGCCTGGACTGACCCAACCTGCAATTTTACAGACTGGGCTTGGAAGTTTGGTCTTTAGGCTGGGCCTGAGCCCAAAATTTTGGGCTTTTATATTTTTCGGGCTAGGCCCAGGCCTAGCCCTTAGGTAGCTTGACCGGGCCTGACCTTATCCCAACCTAAGTCTGGCCTGACTATATACATACATGTATTCATATATAGACACATATTTGTATGTATAAATGCATATATGGATACTTTTTTTGGTAAACCATATACATATATATCAAATTTTAGTGTTAGCTAATTGATCAGCCCGAGCTGGACGAACCCAAGTGCATCAAATTTTAGTGTGCAGACCCAGGTGATATATATATATTTGATCAATAATATAGCCCAGGTGATATTATTTGTTATTCTAGATCTCAATGTTCCTGTAAATTCATTTGTTATTCCCTGGGTTCCAACTTATGATATAATACCTCTTGTACTCCACATAGCACAGGCAGTTTCCATTGGGAAATACGTTGGTTCCTGTAATATTTCATGTTGGGACCCAGGGAAATTAATATATTCTGTGGGAATATTAGGAAAAACATGGACGCTTTAGACCATGGTCAGTTGTAAAATCATATTTTTCATTTGTTATTCTAGATCTGCAATGCGGTTCTTGCTGCACGAATCATGAATGCTACACTAGTGCTCCCTGAGTTGGATGCGAACTACTTCTGGCATGATAATAGGTATCTATTTGCAACCTGTGGTTACCTGTTTCCATTCTAGTTATGGACTATCGATGTGTTAATTGTGTTCGCTTTTGATTATAGTGTATGAAAAAAAAAAAATTATCTTGAAGGCCTTCAGAGAAGGTAGATCAAGAGGCTTATGATAGACATGGAGAGAAAGCATACTGGCAGATATAATATGATAAATTTTAGAGCAATCTTGGTGAATGATGATAATATTGATGGTCTGCTTTCTGTTGATCACCATGTGTATCTCTGTGCATTATATATGCTCAACCTGCCTTTCTCTATCTGTGTGTACATATTGTTACTTTATTTTATTATTATTATTATTACTTCTATTTTTTTTTTTTTGGGGGGGGAGGGGGCAGATGGGTTGATTTTGAGTTGTTTTATGAGCATCACATCTTGAATTAACCAAGGTGCTGGCTTCAAAATTGCACTCTCCTATGGTATGAATAAGCAATTGATCTATTAACCAGTACTACCAAATTATCATGAAATTTGGGTTCTTCCTGACAGCATGTTGATCAATATAATGGAGTCATTTTCAAATATCCAGCTTTGAAGAACTGGACAAATCAGAAGTAGAAGCATGTTGAGTTTCCATCTTCTTACTATCATATAGGTATTGGAAGACCCTTTGTAGTCCCATCAACATGTAGCTTATATGAATGTTTTGGAGTCTACTTAGGAAGACTGTTGTCATATGAAGTTATGGACCCTCTATGATGGTATTGGATTTCATCCATAGTTATTTTTTGAAGTTGGTTGCATTCACCATCAAGACCTTGGCTCCAGAAACAAGGAACAACCAATTGGAGACTGTCTTCCCAGCAGAGAGTTTCTTTCCATTGTATCTTCTTCTGTTCTTCTCATTCTATAACTACCAAATTACTTTAGAGGGAACAAGATCCCAGATTTTCTATGTGATTAACATTGGTTTGAGATGTAAACCAGTCCTCTAAAACTGATATAAACTTGGTAAAATTTAGAGAGAAAAGAAGAGAAATAGAGAACAGCAGCACAAAGGAAGAAGATGGAGAAAAGAAGAGGAAGAAGAAGAAGAGTTCGAATATCTCTTCCCTCACTTCTCTAATCCTTTTACTAAACTTCAATCTTAGGTTAATTACAAGTATGCCCTTAAGTGGGCGGCTAGCTAGGCAGTAACATGAAGAGAACTAACCAAAAAGAAATAACAGGCCCATAAAGATAGGCCCATTAGCTAACAAATAAATAAATAGCATACTACAAGAAAAGATACTAGGGCCCATTCGGCCCTGCCTCTCTACACTCTCCCTCAAGCTGAGCATAGATGTCAATCATGCCCAGCTTGCTTATATGGTGTATCAACTTCCCTCTTGGAACTCCCTTGGTCAAAATATCAGCCAGCTGTTCTTCTAAGGTGATGAATGGCAAGCAAACTTCTCTTGAGGAAACTCTTTCCCGTATAAAATGTCTATCAACCTCAATGTGCTTAGTTCTGTCATGTTGAACAAGATTATGTGCAATATTGATAGTTGCTTGGTTGTCACAGTAGAGCATCATTGGCTTCTCATAGTCAACCCCCAATTCTTCTAAAAGTGATCGTAGCCACAGTAATTTTGACACACCATGTGCCATTGCCCTGTATTCTGCTTCAGTAGAGGATCTAACAACTACATACTGTTTCTTACTCCTCCATGAAACAGTGTTCCTTGCCACCAAAGCACAATAATTCAAGGTGGATCTCCTATCATCAATACATCYTGCCCAATCAGCATCATTGTACTCTTCCAGTTTCATGTGTCCATGTTTGGCAAATAGAATGCCTTTCCCTGGAGTACCTTTCAAGTAACACAAAACTCTTTCTGTAGCATCTAAATGAGTATCTCTGGGAGAATGCATAAATTGACTAATAACACTCACTGCATAGGAAATGTCCGATTGAGTCATGCAGAGATATAACAACTTCCCAAATAGTCTCTAAAACACTCCCCTATCAGATTAAAGTTCACCATCTGTGGCAGAAAGCTTATGATTGGGATCAATAGGAGTGGAGGCTGGTTTAGCACCAAGTTTACCAGTCTCAACAAGGAGGTCAAGGACATACTTGCATTGAGAAATGAAGATACCATCCTTAGATCTAGCAACTTCAACGCCCAAAAAATATCGGAGATCTCCTTAATCATTGATTTCAAATTCAGAGTTAAGAAACCTTTTGAGTTTATTGACCTCCTGGGTGTCATTACCTGTGACCACAATATCATCAACATAAACTATTAGAAAGGTCACCAGAGAACCACTTCTTTTCAAGAACAAGGTATGGACAAAAAATATTAGACAAGCTGGTCATATGGTTTGATGCACCGAAATCAATGACCCAAGGGATTTTATGATTACCTGAAACTGAAGCATGGTTTGCAGAAGCACGAATACCTGAGTGAGCAAATGCTATTGATGATGATGTGTTGCTTGAAGAGTGAGATGTAGAGATAGTAGCTTCCAAGTGATTTAACAATCTTCCATACTTTTCAAAGTCTGCCTTCATTGCTGCCAATTGTTCCATGGTTGACTTCACTTCACTCTCCTTACTTCCTCCTTCGGGTACTGTGGCAACATTAGCTGTCTTAGGCTTTCCTGTCTGACTAGTCTTCTTAAAATTGTTGTTATTCTCAAACCGCTCAGGTAGGTGATCAGGATGAAGCTACAACAAGTGTCCTTAGTATGCCTCGGTTTTGCAATATTCACATACATTCTCTTTCTTCTCAGTTGGACCCTTCGACTTTATTCCAGCATGTGCAAAGTGTTCCATAGGTGGACTCTGTAACTAAACCTATCGCCTACACTCTTCACTGTTTACCATAGCATATGCCTGGGCAAGATTTACCTCATCCTTGGCCAGAATATTCTGCCTAATGATGTCAAACTCAAGGTTGAGTCCTGTAAGAAACTCAAAGACCCTGTTTCGTTCCACTAATTTCCTAAAAGTTTCTACATCCTTCATACTCTCCCATACAACTGTTTCCATAACATCAATTTCCTGCCATAGAGATTTCAGCATAAAATAGTAGATTGCCACACTCTTCTCCCCTTGTCTCAAGTTCTTCACATCACTTTTCAACTTGTAGGCTCTTGCCACATTCAACTTCTGTGAATAGGTTTCAGTGACATTGTCCCAGATCTCCTTGGCCGAAGACATGTAGAGATAGTGTTGACTTATATGGGACTGCATAGAGTTGACCAACCATCCTATGAATGTATAGTTCTCCTGCATCCATTTCTCAAATTCAGGGTCTGTCTCTTCGGGCTTCACCTTACTGCCTGTGAGATATCCTAATTTTCYTCTACTACAGACATAAATCCTTATAGACTGTGCCCAAGCAAGATAATTTGTTCCATTTAGCTTAATTGTGGTCACACCAGTCAAAATAGAATCTATCAAGTCAAGCCCAGAAACCGACACCTGCTTGAACTCACTTCCGTATTGCTCCATTAATCAAACGGAAATAAAAAACCAGAAATTTGATCTTTATAAACTTACTTGAAGTCAAACCAATACCTAGATGCTTGAAAAACTAGGGTTTCACTGCGCCCGACTGTTGGGGAGAAAGAGAGAAGATGCAGCCGCTCCTACCAGAGCTTCCCAATCTCTTCCAAAACTGAACCACCCTCTTTTAGAAGTCAAAAGGCACCTCCCAAGCATAGAGCGCCACACCCAAAGCTTCACTTTTACCTATAACTTCGAACATCTCTAATTGACTAGGGTTTTGGGTAGAAACAGTACAACATCACTTCTTGGCAGTTTCTGGCCAGAATTCAACTCTCCAAACCCTCAACCAACTAGGTAAAAAGTCCTCTGAACTATAGAGAACCTATCTCTCCGTACACTCTCTTAATCGAAGGGTGTATGGGAAAAGAGAAAAAAGAAAAGAAGGAAGAAGAAACCTGCTCTGATACCAAGATGTAAATCTGTTCTCTAAAACTGATATAAACTTGGTAAAATTTAGAGAGAAAAGAAGAAGAGAAATAGAGAACAGCAGCACAAAGTAAGAAGATGGAGAAAAGAAGAGGAAGAAGAAGAAGAGTTTGAATATCTCTTCCCTTCCTTCTCTAATCCTTTTACTTAATCTTAGGTTAATTACAAGTATGCCCTTAAGTGGGCGGCCAGCTAGGCAGTAACATGAAGAGAACTAACAAAAAAGAAATAACAGGCCCATAAAGATAGGCTCATTAGCTAACAAATAAATAAATAACATACTACAAGAAAATATACTATGGCCCATTCGACCCAGTCTCTCTACAGTTGAAAACAATGACAGAGGAGATGGTTGGGGTTGAACATTCCAATATTCCACAAAGAATGGATTGTCCCACTGATTGGGTCATGCTTGATGCTATTCCTTTTTCTACTGCTTAATAAAGTTCCAGTAGTAGTTGTAATACAACAACAAGAAGAAAAATTGATATTTCCTCTAAGTCAACTAAAAAAAGTGTCTACTCAAACTTTGGTATACTTTTTTGGTCCACAAAACTTTCTAGTTTTGATTATTATGCTTGTAAGCTAACAGGGATAAGGATGGAGAGAGGAAGATATAACCACAAAACTTAGCTTAGAGTGGTATGAACATCAGATCCCCTTTGCAGAGGACGACCTCCCTATTTATAAGAGTAAGGGAGCAAGACTGCGTGCATGAAACAAGAATTCCAGAATATTCCTTAACCCGATTAATGCCTGGAGACAGATCTCGTCAATTTCACTGCTCGGGACACGTGTCTCTTAGGGCCACAAGGTTGTTAGAACATCTTGGGTCTCCTTAGGAGGTGATGCTTGTCAGTACAACACCTAGGTACAGCCAGTTGTGGTTTTCCTATGGTATTGATCACTCGTCTGACACCTTTAGCATGACCCCTGCCGCACTCAGGCACCGGTTCATTAGTATTTAACTTGTCTCACAAGACATAATGCATATTTGGCTTTGAACCCCTCATGAGACATATACACATATTTGGCTCGC